TTATTATTATTATTCTGCATTAATTCTACAGTATAGGTGATCCCTTAGCACAAATAAAAAGGACCCTAGAGTATTAGGTAAATGTCTGAATCATAATTGTATGAATCTTAGCAACAGAAACCATCATTTGCCTAAAAGAGTGTACCCAGAGATATAGATCCCAATGCTATGATCAAGCACATAAAAGAACAAGAAGCCCTGATAATTGAAGACAATGAGTCACACGCTCTAATTTAAAGAAAGGCTGGGAATGAATCCAAGCGGGTCTATTTACTGGAAATTATATTTCCCCAACTGTCAATGCCACTTGCACCCAGCCACCCGCAAATTTGCAGGATTCACTGATCCGCAATTGAATAAACCTCTTTTGGGTTTTCCTTATTTTGGAGGTTTTGAAACACAGAATGGATTATAATATTGATCAGCAATACCTCTTATAGTATGCTTCTACATAACCTGATAGATGATAATCTGACAGATGAGTTCACTGGAGTGGAGCTCATCTATCGGACAGATGAAAAGCGATTTAACCTCAGCAGACCCAAAGCCAAAACCAAGGTTACAACAACATCTGTTATAGAACTCCAATATGCTGATGACAATGCAATCTGTGCGCATTCAGAAGAAGACCTACAAGCCACTCTAAACACCTTTGCAGAAGAATATGAGAAGCTTGGTTATAGAACTCCAATATGCTGATGACAACGTCGTCTGTGCGCATTCAGAAGAAGACCTACAAGCCACTCTAAACACCTTTGCAGAAGCATATGAGAAGCTCGGCCTGTCATTTAACATTGAGCAAACCAAAGCGCTCTTCCAGCACTCACCAGCCAATTCCTCTCCAATGCCAGAAATACAGCTTAATGGTGTAACATTAGAAAATGTTGGCAGCCACCTCTCCACAAAAGTCAACATTGACACTGAAATACAACACCGCCTGAGCTCTGCGAGTGCAGCATTTTTCTGAATGAAGCACCGAGTGTTTGAGGATCGGGACATCCGTAGAGATACCAAGGTGCTTGTCCTCCCAACCCTGCTATACACCTGTGAAACGTGGACTGTCTACTGACGTCACATGCAACTCCTGGAACGATTCCATCAGTGCTGCCTCCGAAAAATCCTGCAAATCTCTTGTGGAGACAAGCGGACAAATGTCAGCGTGTTGGAAGAAGCAAAGACCACCAGCATTGAAGCGATGGTCCTCCGTCATCAACGCCGCTGGACCGGCCACATTATCTGGATGCCTGACCACCGTCTCCCAAAGCAGTTGCTCTACCCTGAACTTAAGAACGGAAAACGGAATGTTGGTGGGCAGGAAAAGAGATTGAAAGATGGGCTCAAAGCCAACCTTAAAAACTCTGGCATAGACACTGAGAACTGGGAAGCCCTGGCCCTTGAGCGCTCCAGCTGGAGGTCAGCTGTGACCAGCAGTGCTGCAGGATTTGAAGAGGCACGAATGGAGGGCGAAAGAGAGAAATGTGCCAAGAGGAAGGTGTGTCAAGCCAACCCCGACCGGGACCGCCTTCCACCTGGAAACTGATGCCCTCACTGTGGAAGAAGATGCCGGTCAAGAATAGGGCTCCACAGTCACCTACGGACCCACCACCAGTACACCAATCTTGGAAGACAATCCTACTCAGACAACGAGGGATCGCCTAAGAAGAAGGTGTGCTTCTGCATAACAAAGTTTGGACTAGTTGGACTCTGTGGGTCCCTTTCCACCGTAAGAGCCGATGCTTTGCCTCGTTATACCTCCGGACGTCAATCTACTCTTGATATTGTGCATGTACTTGCTTTCAAATCAAATGTTATGGCGATCCCATTAATTTTATAGGGTTTTCTTAGGCAAAGGATTACTCGAAAGGGAGCTCTATATCAGTTTCTTCCTCTTCCTCTTGCTTATTGCTTATGTTTTGGTTTTATTTTTGCTGTAATATGTTGTCCGGGCTTGGCCCCATGTGAGCTGCTCCGAGTCCCCATTGGGGAGATGGTGACAGGGTATAAATAAAGATTATTATTATTATTATTATTATTATTATTATGGAGCCTACAGCACCTGATATGCCTTGGCAATCCTTCTGATTTTGGAGAGATTATTTCTTTCGGATTGCTATTCCTAGAATTCCGAGAATCAGTGTCAGCTGAAAATTTCCATTTG